TCCTAACACCATTATTAAAAAGGCTCATTTCCCTCCAGTATGTGTTTTTGGACCCATTGTCAAAGATCAAATACTTGAAAGTGCCTGGGGTTGTTTCTGCATTCTCTATTCTGTTCCATTGTTTCTCATGTCTTTTTCTGTACCAATGCCATAGTGTTTTTATCATAATACCTTTGAAATATAACTTCAGATCTGGGATTGTGATGTCCCTCACTTTGCTCTTTTTACCTATGACTGTTACCACTATTCTTTGTCTCTTTTGGTTTCACATGAATGTTAAGATTTTTCTCCAGTTCTGTGAAGAATACTGTAGTAATTTTGGTTGCATTAAATCTCTATGACCATTTTGGAAGTACATGGGGCTGTTTCCAAAACAGACCACATACTACCCAATAAAGTATACTTAAGTAAACACAAAAAATCCAAATTATATCATGCATATTATCAGATCATAGTGTAATGAAACTAAAGATCAATGGAAAAAGAAAGCAGAAAAATTCTGCAAATATGGAAATAAAATAATATCCTCTTGAATAATCAAAGGATCTCAGAAGAAATTAGACAGTTCCTAGAATCAAATGATGATGGCAATACAATATAGCAGAACCTATGGGACACAATGAAAGCAGTTCTAAGAGGGAAGATTATAGCTGTGAATGCCTACGTCATAAAAACAGAGTGAGCTCAAATAAGTAACCTTTTTATGCACCTTAAGGTCCTAGATAAACAAGAACAATCCAACCCAAAGCTATCACATAGAATGAAATTATAAAGATCAGAGCAGAAATAAATAAAATTGAGACTAAAAAGATACAAAGAATTAATGAAGAATTGATTCTTTGTAAGATTAACCTATATAGACAAACCCTTAGCCAGTCTTACCAAAACAAGGAAATACAAATCCATCCAGTTAGAAATAAAAAAGGCAAAATCACAATGGAGTCTGCTGAAATCCAGAAGATCATCTGTAACTACTTTGAGAGTGTGTACTGAGATAAAATGTAAAATTCAGAAGAAACAGATAAATTCCTTGATATATATGAACTATGAAACCTGAACCAAGAAGATATAAAAATCCTGAATAATTCAGTATCAGTCAGTGAAATTAAAAAACTGATTAAGAAAACTGCCAACTAAGAAAAAGCCAACAAATTCACTGCCAATAACACCAATAATTGTCAAACTCTTTAGTGAAATTGAAAGAGAAGTACTCCTAAAGTCATTCCTGGAAGCCAACATAACCCTGATTCCAAAACCAGAAAAGGACCCAATCACAAGAGGACTACAGGCCAATCTCTTCCATGAACATAGATGCAAAAATCCTGAACAAGATATTGGCAAAAAGAATACAACAAATTGTCAAAAAGATTACATATCGTAATCTAGTAGGCTTTATCCCAGGGATGTAGGAATTGTTTAACTTATGAAGATCAAGAAAGGTAATACAGGGCCGGGGATTTAGCTCAGTGGTTCCGCCACCTGCCTCGCATACTCAAGGACCTGAGTTCTATCTCTGGTACCAAAAATAAATAAATGAATAAAATAAAAAAACCAGCCAGCTGCAGACATGCTGCATGGCTCCCAGTCTCCTGTGGTTACCTTCCCCAGGGCATGCCACAGGGCATCGACTCACTATGGCAGCAGCATGGCGTAACATTCTTGACTACATGCTCAGCACCAAACCTGATGGTGAGACTATTCTAAAAGGTCTGCAGTCCATTTTCCAGGAGCAGGGCATGGCAGAGTTGATGCATACACGGCAAGATCATGGCTACCTAGAAACCTAAACAAACAAAAATGGCATCTTTACCAATTTGAGAATTTATCCTAATGGATTGGTATTGCTGGACCTTCAGAGTTATGACAGTGACATCCAGGGCATAGAAGAAACTGACAACCTTTTGAACAAAGTAGAAGAGAGAACAAAAGAATTGAGTCAGGCCAGTATTTGGCAGGTGAGGTGTTTACCAACCATAGTTCAAGGAGGGGCCATCGACAGATAGTGGCCCACTGCTGACAGGTGCCTGGTTGAGTATGACATAGATAATGTAGTAGATGGTGAAGATTCACCTTACCAGAACATTAAGGTTCTACATTCAAAGCAGATTGGAAATATCCTCATCCTTACTGGGGGTGTTGATTTGGCACATACCCGGGCCATCATGGGCAGTGGCAAAGAAGATTACACTGGCAAAAACATACTGATTCTGGGAGGCAGAGATGGAGGCCTATTATGTGAAATAGTCAAACTGAACCAAAGATTGTCACTGTGGTAGAGATTGACCAAATGGTGGTTGACACATGTAAGAAAGATATGCACCAAACATGTAGTGACGGCTTAGACAATCTTAAAGGAAACTGCTCTGAGGTTTTAACAGAAGACTGTACTCCAGTACTGAAGAGGTACACCAAAGTAGGGAGAGAGTTTGATTATGTGATTAATGATTTGACAGCGGTTCCAATCTCCACATCTCCAGAAGAAGATTCTACATTGGAGTTTCTCAGACTGATTCTTGACCTCTCTATGAAAGTATTGAAACAGATGGGAAGAATTTTACACAGGGGAACTTGTCAATTTGACAGAAGCCCTGTTGTTCTATGAAGAACAGCTTGGGTGCCTTTATTGTCCTGTGGAATTCTCAGAGGAGATCGCCTATGTCCCTTCATACTTGGAAATGTGGATATTTTACACTGTTTGGAAGAAAGCTAACCCTGAAGATGAATATCCCAATGATGTGTGCTCCAGAGAGCCTTCCTGACCGCCATATGCTGTACATGCTATCAAAATGAGTCAGGCAACTGATTGTGACTTCTTTGAAGTTTTCTCTCTTTTTAATTATTATTTTTTAATATAAAAGGCAAATGGAAAATGTATATTTTGATGAGCTAGGGTGTTACTTTCTTGAAAGTCAGCTGATGGACAATAGCGCAGCAAAGACTGCTAAATGCACTGACCCCCTAGAATGTGATTTTTGTTACTTTTTATTTCTGTGTGGGTTTTTTGTTTTATTTTCTTTTCATTTTTTCGTTGTTGTTTTTGTTTTGTTTTGTACCAGGGATCAAACTCAGGACCTTGAGCTTGCAAGGCAGGCAGCAGCGCCACTGAGCTAAATCCCTGGCCTCTGTTTTGTTTTCTTTTGATTTTGGTAGAACTTATATTTGGACCTTTGGAGGAATGAGCATTATGTTTTGTTTCAGAGGGAAGACCTTAATGGTTTTTTTAAAAAATTGAGTTAGATTTTAAATTTTGGTGCTTTTAAAAAAGTTAAAAAAGAATAGCAATGCTTCAATTAAAGTTACGAAAGAGATTTTAAAAAGGTAATACACCACATAAACAGAAGCAAGGACAAAAATCACATGATCATCTCAATAGATGTAGAAAAAGTATTCAACAGATCCAACATCCATTCATGATAAAAACTCTGAAGAAAATATGTATAGAGAAGGTCCTTATCTCAAGCTGATGAAAGCCATCTATGACAAACCAGCAGCCAAAATCATATTAAATGGAAAGAAGCAGAAAACTTTCCCTCTAAAATCAGGAACAAGTCACAGATGCCCACTGTCACCATTATTGTTCAATACAGTTCTTGAAACTTTAGCTACAGCAATCAGGCAAGAGAAACAAACAAAAGGGATATTTAAGGGAAAAGTTAAATTATCATTATTTGCTGATGACGTGGTCTTTTAGAAGAACTGGAAAACTCTATGAAAAGACTCCTAGAATTAGTTATGCAATTCAGTAGCATAGCAGGATACAAAGTCAACATTCAAAAAACAATAGTATTCCTGTATACAAATAATGGAGAGGTGAATTAGGAAAAACCAAACCTTTCACAATAGCATCAAGTAAGATGAAATACTATAACCAAGGAAGTGAAAGACCTTTACAATGAGAACTACAGTATTCTGAAAAAAAGAGATGAAAGAGGATATCAGAAGGAAAGAAATCCCCTGTTCTTGGATAAGCAGAACTAATATAGTCAGAATGATCTTTTAAAAAGTGTTTTAATTGAAAAATGAAAATTATATATGTACTTATGATGTACATGAGGTTTGGAAATATGTACATTGAGAAGTGGCTAAATTGAGCTAAGTAATGTGTGCATTACTGTATGTACTTATTATTTGCCTGTAGGGAAAACAATTAAAATCTGCTACCTTGGGGATTTTCAAATATTCATTCTTCTTTTTTTGTGGGGGAGGTACCAGGGATTGAACCCAGGATATTGCATTTGTGAGGCAGGAGCGGTGCCACTGAGCTAAATCCCCAGCCCACAAATATACAATCTTAAACTGCACGTGTGTGTTGGCATTTCTGGATCTATGCTCCATGAGCTTGACTTTTGTTTTCCCTCTTTTCCTTATGCTAAATCCTGGAAGTTTTCCATAGTTCATTCATATCTTCAATCAGTGGAGAAGAAAAGGAGAAAGTAGGGAAAGAATTCACCTCTGTCTGCAGGGTTGATTCCCTCTAAGCAGTGGCTGGCTCTTTGGAGTGGACACTCCTCTGTCCATGTGTGGTCTCTGTGTATTCCTATGTATGTATGTGCTCTGGAGTGGGCCTTCACATATGCACTTTTAGAAGTGGCTACTTTTCAGGAGGAGTTACTTAAAGATATACTGCTGAAAGTCGAAGAATTCCAGGTATGTGCACTGTGGTGAGCACAGCCAGATTAGGTCTCAATCTCTGTCTCCTTGGAAATTAAAATCAAATGTTTAAGGAAGAAAAAATGTAAAATAACTCAACAAATACTTTCATAGACATGGAAGTACATGGAAAGATGACTCCAGGGAGATTTACTGAGGATCATCTAAGCCCTTGTGACAAATCTAAGTGAAATGCTGTCAATGTCTTAAAACCCTTGGCATTTGCTTATGCTGTAATAATGTATTGTACTATATGGGGTTGGGTGTAGGGAAGGAACATTGGGTTTCAGAAGGTGTGGACAGCACCTACTCCCGTTATGCCGATGTGTGTCACAGTTCTCTCTGTTCAGACCAGGTACACAGTGGCCAAAGACAGCGTGGTCCAGTTCTTCTTTTACCAGCCCATCAGTCATCAATGGAGACAAACTGACTTCTTTCCCTGCACTGTGACATGTGGAGGAGGTGAGGCACAGACTTTATTCATGGATATTTTGAGCTCAGAGTTAGAAACTACACAAGCACTTTTGAAATGGACTTTAAAATAGGTGTGGTCTCTGAGTATGGTGGTGGTGCACACCTGTGATCCCGGCACTCTGAGAGGCTGAGGCAGGAAGATTTGAATCCAGCCTAGGGGCCTTACCAACTTAGCAAGACTGTCTCAGAATTTAAAAGTAGGGGTATAGCTTAGTGGGAAGGCCCTGGATTCAGTCCCCAGTATTGCAAAAAAAAAGAAAGAAAGAAAAAGAAAAGAAAAGGTTAACCACAGGGTTCCCGAAGCCTGTAATACAGTGGAGTTAAGGAATGTACATTTGCCTTTACTTTTGAAGGCAGGTGGAAAACTGAATTTGGAAAACACCTTTTACTTTTAGTCCAAAGTTGGTAACATGTTTGCATGTGTTTTCGTTTCAAGTATCCTTAAAGTATGTGTCATTTTTAATTTTCTGTGGGAAATCTGAGAAGCAGAGTGATCGAGTGACTTGCTTCAGTGGGTCAAGTTAGTGGCACTATTGGTTCTAACATTAGAGCTCCACCTTCTCTCTCCTCCAGTGTGAGAGTATAAACTTATTAAAGAGAGAAAGGTTTTCTACTAATTGATGAGGGCAAATACCTGCATATCATCTGCTTAACGTAAGGTTTTCACAGATCACTCAAGAAGATTTAGTGGCAAGTATAACCCAGGACTCCACATGTGCTACAAGAGAAATGTCTTTTCAGTAGATAATTGTCCCCTTAGCATGGAAAAATAGTGACCTTCTGGAGCACATGAGGAGGCCACAACAGCCATGGTTGAAATAACTTGTTTTCTGAACTGAACTGAGCTTTTAAAATGGGGGAATAAATGGTTGTGAGCAAGTGCAACCCAGGAACCATGAGTTATGAGGAATTCCAGGGGGTGCAGGCTACCGCTTACCCTGAGACTCCTGCGCATGTGTGAGACATATGACCATCACATTTGTTCTTCACAAAACCCAAGAAAGGTCTCCTTTGTATTACCCATATCTGTGTTACCTGGTATATGCATGAGCAAACTGGAACTTCAGAAGGGTACAGAAGTTACTCATGCTTGTTTGACCTGTGACCAGGACAGCTGGAGTCCAGATCTATCTGATGCCATTTAGGACAAATGCTGTAATGATTTTGCTCCTGAGTGTCTCAGAACCACCCACTACACCTGGCACAGGTCAGGACACACAGTGCAGGGTTGGTCCTGTGTGGAGAGCTTGAATGAGTCATTCTCCATTGGCCCAGCCTGGCCTATCCCCAGCCCCAAATCACTTCTTCCCACCAAAGTTAAGGGTATTAGCTGACTTGGATTGTTAGGAACAGAGCTAGAGTTCTGGCTTCTGTCCTTTGAACTTCATTTATGTCAGTGAAGGCTCCTCAGCTGAGGTCAGGTTCCTAGGAATATGCAGGTCAGGTCTCTGTCTTTGGGGATTTAGGTTTCCCATAAAAGGAGAAGGCATGCAATTTTGTGGGTAGTGTCGGGCGGCTCAGACCGCAGCAGGATCTAATTAGCCCCAAGTGTTCCCTTAGCCTTGGTGTCTTCTCTATGGGACCAAACAGCATGATTTGTGTCCACAAACATAGCTTAGTGCCTGGCCCTCAGAGAGCACACGGGAGATCTTTGTTGTGTCAGAAACTAAACCTAAATGTCCACCAAGGGCACACTTCTTTGGCTGTCCCCTGCCAGCATTCCTAGCCACACTTGTGATGAGCAGTGCCATACACATGGCTGATCAGTCACAGGGAGCAGAGATCATCCAGAGCAGGTGGACAGACCTGAGCCTGATACACAGAAGGTGACTTCTATCACCTCAGAGGCAGGCAGGCCACAGTCCCAGGGAGGACAGCTGTCTTTCATGGACCCCAAAAGAGATGGTGGGGGCTTTTTTACTCCATGGAGAAATAGGCATCCATCTCTTTTCAATTTGTTCCTACCTCTCACACACAGTTATTCAGACAGATGTTCCCATTTGCACCCATAAAATAGAAGAGAAGCTGTAGGCTCTGGGAGGGGCCTTTTTATGATAGGACTCAGCCTCGTTCGGTTGATTCCATTCTTAGGAGGGGACAGGTGTTTGTCATGCTTGGGTGTCCAGGACCCAGTCCTGCTAGAACCATAGATTTGTATGGGTCACTTGGCACAAGAGGGTCTCCACACAGAGTGCAGAATGTGAGAACACACAGTGCTTTGGGGCTGCCTCAAAGCCTCTTTTCCACACACTGGCAGAATTTCAGGACATTTGTTCAGAGCATTGCAAGACAATCTGCCTTCTTTCTTTGCTTGAAGTTATCTGTAAACTGCAATAAAATTAAAGAAGGAAACTAATTCTTCTTCCTAAATTATAAAAACTTGCATGCCCTCCTCTCCTCCTTGTAGAAGTATGTTTCCATTTAGGACGAAGATTTTCTCTGACTCAAGGGGCTGTAATCTCATTCTGTACTTGTTTTGGGGGAAATAAAAACACACGCCTAAAACCCACAAGGAAAGCATTACCAAAATGTAATTATATTAGTAATCAAATTTACATAATTTGTGTGAATGACATTTTAGAGATTTTTGGATAATCAAGAAAATTAGTTTTCTGGTCTCTAAGGTATCATGGGTACTTGGAGACACCCTGCTGGTTTTGTCTGCACTTAATTGTCTTCGTGGGGCTCTTGAGATCAGTCTGAAGCAAGGACCAGGACCGCCCTGGCTGTCTGATACTGTGGCTTTCTGGGAGACACTGGCACCCGATGAACATTTTATTCACTCCAGCTGGATTTTCATTATTGTGGTTTTGACCTTGCTTTTTCATAATGCACACCAGCCTGTTCTCTATACTCAGCCTACTCTGAAGCCATATCTGGAACGAAGCTGTCTACTGGTTTACAAAATCAGGCTCCTCTTGGCAATCAGAACTTTATAAATATATTTTTAGACCTCTAGGCCAATGGGTGGAGACTGAGATTTTAGCTTTAAAGAAATTATATTGACATGACATTTGTAGAGTGACAGAGAACCTACAGTCAGATCTTCCAGGAAAGGGAAGTGTCATTTTTTTAGTTTTTTTTATTTTTATTTGCACTATTCATCTTCTTAGAACACTCACTTTCCTCAAATACTGTACAGGTTGGGTTTGAATAAGGAATGAGTTTATTTCTTCACTTTCGACAGCTATGAGGCAGTGCTTCTGTTCCCTCCCATAAAGACAATGCTTAATTCCCAGTTGCAAAATGTACAGCTGTTGGAAAAGCCTGGCATCTTCAGGGGGCAGGTGAGCAAAATCTAAAAGAAACAGTAGGCTCATATGAAAGGAATATTCACCTCTCTCGGTGCAGAGGAGCTCTCAAAGGTACAATGCTGAGTGAAAAAAAGAGAAACTGGAACAAGATGTAAAACACGTTACCAATTAAGGAAAAAACAGATGCATATAAAACAATCCTGTATGGACAGTTGCATATTTAAGGACATATAGATAATTAATCAAAGTTGGCATCTGGAAGAAGAAGAAAAGAAAATTGGAATGGGAGTGGCCATGGGGGAGAAAGGTATATACAAGGGAAAAGGTGGGAAGACAGGCCCTGAAGGCAGTGAGAAGACAACACAGTAACCTGAGGAGAATGAGTCAAGAGCTGCACTCAGGTCCAGGTACCTCTTTTTTTTTTTTTTTTTTTTTTTTTTTTTTGTTTTGTTCGTCCCAGGGATGGAACAACTCAGGTCCTTGTGCTTGCAACACAGGTAATAGTACCACTGAGCTAAATCCCCAGCCCTAGGCACTTCTTAAAGGAAGTATATGGTAACGTGCTAGTCACCAGTGCTAAGAGAACCACAGCTTGTTAAAGCAGTTGTTCCCAATCTTGGCATGTGCTTTCTTTAGTCATCTTAGAAACACCCAAGCATCTTTTCTAAAAGCATTGATTTCCTGGACCCTGGCTGCAGTGATTCTGACTTAACTGAACCAGAAAGTAACCTGAGAATCGGTGCATTACTGCCACAGAAATTCTGTGGGTCTGTTATATGCTCGAGCCTGCAAATCACTGAGCTGTGTTTCTTAAAGAGGAAAAAAAAAGTGCATTAACCAGGCATGGTGGTGCATACCTAAAAATCCCAATATTTTGGGAGTCTGAGGCAGGAGGATCACAACTTTGAGCCCAGCCTGGGCAAATTAGCAAGACCTTGTCTCAAAACATAAAATTAAAAAAGGATTGGGCATGTAGCTCAGTGAAAAGGCTTTGGGTTCAGTCCCCAGTACTGGAAAGGACAGGATAGGACAAGGGGAAAGGGACAGGGAAGAGAAGTAAGTGATAACTTTGCCAGGCAAACATGAAACAAATTCGGTATATAGTGTTCAGACTTTTCCTTTTCTAACCTGTAGGTTATCAGCTAAATTCTGCTGAATGTGTGGATATCCGCTTGAAGAGGGTGGTTCCTGACCATTATTGTCATTACTACCCTGAAAACGTAAAGCCCAAGCCCAAACTGAAGGAGTGTGGCATGGACCCCTGCCCATCAAGGTTTGTGCTGTTTTTACTTTAAAAGAAGGAAATCACCTGCAACTGGGACTGATCAGTTCTTGTGGAATAGTACATTTCCACCTCCTGACTTTGACCGCCCATGGCTGGCGGGTACCTGTGCTCACATGCATAACCACGATGAGTAGGAATTAAGATGCCTTTGCAAATTCCAGCACTCTGGCCAGCACTCTCTTCGTGCTGTGGGATTATGTGCCCTTGGACTCTATAATTAACCTTTTTGAGCATCTCCAATATATACAATGTTAAAGATCTCTTTATGCATTGTTTAGCCCATCCGCCAGTCATAACTGTCTCTCACTCACCAGTTTAGCCTTTGAACTGGGTAACCCTGTGTCCATACCCACGTTTATAGCAGTAAACTCATGATAGCTAAACCTTCAAAATGGTCTACATGTCCAGCAGCAGATGAATGAATAAAGAAGATGAGGCATTTATAGATAATTGAATGCCACTCAGCCATAAAGAAAATAAATTTGAGTCATTTAGATGCACCTTTTGAAGTGCGGTAATTCAGACACAAGTTAAATATCACATGGTTTTCTTGTATGACAAACCTAAAGTGTAAACAATTTAAAAAACAAAATAAAAATATATGCTAGAAAGTAAGGCAGTAGATCTTTTGGAAGTGAGAAAGGAGAGTGGAAGGGAGAGTGGAGAGGAAGGGGAAGCAAAGAAGATAAGATTCTATATGTATATGTATCGACTCTCTACAAGGAGTGTATTTATTATATATTGCAAACTTGCACTCATTTTTTAAAAAGGAAAACTGGATCACCCATTATCACATTTGCCTTTGGAAGTGTCACATTAAATTGAGTACAACTAATGCATTGTGCTATACATAAACTGGAAAGTTATGTAATTTAAAGCCTACTACTTTGGATTTCCTGGGGAAGTTCCATGGCTTTTAGGGTAGTATCTTAAAATAACAGCACAATATCGAGTTCCACAATGCCTCAGTACCCACCAGCTGGCTAAGACAAGAGTGTATAAGTGACAGGGGAACCTCACTGGATTTCATTTCCTCTCACTGCCCTGCCCACTTCCTGCAACCCACAGGGAACATTGTTATTAATAGAGACCTTTCAAAGACTACTCCTGTGAAACAAAGTGGGTTTTGAATATTTTACTAATATGATATATATTAATATCATTAATATATTTTGTCACAATTATGATAAAAAAGAATAAATCAATTTATCTAAATTAAGAGTGTTATCTTTTTCTAAGATTATTATATCACTAATTCAGGGTCTGTATTGTTGTATACAGGACTCTTTTGTATCAGTTGTTCCTAAAGATCAAAGAGATGGCAGCCAAATTTTTGGAAATGGTTCCTAACGGTTGGCATGTTTAGTGTTAGAAAGAGCTCTGTCTTGAGACATCAAATTTATATTAGGTAATTATTAAATATGTAAATTGACTTTTAAGTGATATTCTCACAATGGTTTTATTTGTAGTGATGGATTTAAAGAGATTATGCCTTATGATCACTTCCAACCTCTCCCTCGGTGAGTTATATGTTTCCCTTTTCTCATTTACTCTAAATAGTTTACAAGCCCATGTAGCATCTGTAGCAAGTCTGCAGTGCATCAGGGACAGACATTAGGCCCTCTCAGAGCTAAGGGAAAACAGTACAACCCAGTAATTAGAAAGATCTTTTTAAGAATCATGGAAAAGAATGTCTCAAAAGGTGATGTTTTCAGTCCTTGAGAGATCAGCATATCTTATACAATGGATATCACTGAAGGAGCTCAGGTGTTGTTATTTGTCAGCCATTCAAATCTCTTTTGATACATAGATGACTGATGTGATCCCTTCTGACTCTGAGTTTCTATGTTTCCCTCTCTAGCAATATGATCACTTAGTATTTTATAGTTGAGAAACAGGTTAAAGATCTTTACATACTATCTTTTAATTAGTTTAATCTCATAGTGGCCCTCTTGGGTAACTGGGACAGTAGTATAATTCCACTTGGCAGAAACCTCAGGTTCAGGGATGTAAATTTTTTGTGACTATAGACAGTGCGTGGCACTTAAGAGTAAAGTCTTAGGACTCCAGGTCTCATGCTTGTTTAACCAGACCACAGCTGGATACCATGAGGCCATACTTTCAGTGACCATCTTTGCAAACTTGAAACCAACAAACAACAAATAAATAATGTATGTTTTGTTTGCTTTTGAGCTGGGAACATAATCCATGGACTGCATGTTCTGTGTCCTGTGGAGGAGGGATTCAGAGGCGGAGCTTTGTGTGTGTGGAGGAGTCCATGCATGCGGAGATACTGCAGGTGGCAGAATGGAAGTGCATGTATGCACCCAAGCCAAAGGTCATGCAAACTTGCAATCTCTTTGATTGCCCCAAGTGGGTCGCCATGGAGTGGTCTCAGGTGAGATGAGAAAACATGATACTTGCAGTTAAATTGTAGATTTTAAGGACTACTTGGACAACATGGAGTGAAAATGTTGGGTGTGAACATAGTTCCTACTCCCAAAGAACTTTGGGAAACAGTTGGATGACAGTGTAAGAGAGACCATGAGCATTAATGTAGGTAAGAATTATCACTATTAAAGACTGGCACATCTAGAAGGAAGAGATATCAAAAGAAAACCTTGCTGTGAGCAGGGAAAGGCTATAGTGAAATGAAGTAAGGAGGTGTCCAGAAAGGTCCTGATTCATCTAGGTTGAAGCAAGAACTCTTGATATCAGGAATTCAGTGATGATCTGGCATTACAATGCACCTTTCATCTAGTAGTTATTAAGAAGCTTCACAATTTTTTGAAGAGTGTAACGTATTTCAGATAATTGAGGCAAGATGGCCCAACACTATGAAAGGGCAGAGAAGGCAGTGTACTTGGAATCAAGGGAGAAGATTGCTGGGAAAATGAAAAGAGCAGGGAGGACCCTTCCAGAGATGTGACAGCACTGAGTGTCAGATGAGTTTAGTTTACACTTTCTAGGGAGATAGAATCTCTAGTACAGCTCAAGTTCCAGTGGCTTAGTCCAAAATAAAAAATGCAGGTGTTAGTATTTAGAATTTCAATCTTAATCTTTTAACTTTCTAAAGAGTAAAACCTAACTGACCCAAATTTCTCTGGCTCTTTTGTGTGATCTCTGTATTATACATGCATTAATAAATCTATTCCTGTGTTTAATATGTCAACTGCCATGCTAGAAGGAAGTAACACTCTCTCTGTACTCCCAGAAGCTTGGAATCAGCCACCCTGACATGCATACAGATGAGCAGGTGTGGTATGGTATAGCAGTATGTGTAAGTGCCACTCAGCATGTAGTACTCCAGGACATAGGCACAAGATTGGCTCCAGCTGCAGGCTCCAGGAGAGGCTTTAGAAAGGAGATAGTTGCCTTATCATGGTACCTGAAGATAAGTGAGTCTTAGGTGCAGACCCCACCTAAGTCTTTTTCCAGTGTCCTCAGGCTAAATGTGCTTACAATATTAATTCTTTTGTGATCATGCATCCTGTAAAATATGTCTGGAAAATCACATAACCTTTCCCATATACTTAGGCTGACATCTGAAAATCTTATCAGTAAACTTAAATAATTGCAAAGAATATCATGTCCAATACGCTATGAATTCTGACATTTTAAAATAAAAGTATACTGCATTTTTAAAAAAATGTGTCCAGGGCTGGGGATTTAGCTCAGTGGTTCCACCACCTGCTTCTCAAGCACAAGGTCCCAAGTTTGATCCCTGGTACCAAAAATAAAACAAGAGAATGTGTCTGTTGGAACCTAAATGTCATGACAGTTTCTATCCTTGCCATCTTTCACTTAGATAAGGAGCTCTAACAATTTGAGTATTTTCACATTTCTCCTGTGGATCTCACATTTTTCACTTTACTCCCCCATAGAGTTTTATCATAATATGATGTATTTGTATGCTTTATAGTCTCTTATTGATTATACACTTCTACTTCTAAGAAAATATGTATAGTAATTTAATTTATTTTAGTTTCTTATGTCCAGAAGGCTCTAAGTGTTAAGAATTTACCCTTGAATTCATCTCTGATTAATTTTAATTTTAGTATTCAATCAAAACAACACATGTATATTTCAAAGATTTTGGTAAAAAGCTATTACACACGCAAGAAGTAAATTTTCATTTGAAATCAGTTTTTCTAGAAGATGAATGAGGCTTAAAAAGTAGACCATATGCCTATTACCAAAATGAGAGATGGATCCTTCTGTAATTTTATTGAATTGAACTGTTGACTTTTTTGCCTGTCTTACACATACACACTGGGAAAGCTTGCTCACATAAATAGACGGGGATGAAAGGGGTATATTTCTGTGAGGTCATGCAGTTCTTTGAACTCCTGAGTTATATGCCAAAATCCATGTGATTGTATATCACCAAGAATAATTTTTAAACATCTGTCACCTTGTAATTCGATTAAGTTCATTTCCAGTTTTGTTGAAAGTGAGGAATATCGCCCTCGTACAAAAGGACTCGTTACCTGGCCACTAGAGATTTTCACTGTTTGGCCTCAGTCAGCAGTTTTTATACAACCTGTGGAGCTGTTGTCAGCCCATTCGGTCCTGGCCACATGTTCTGTTTCAGCTTTAGAGCTTTTATACCCTCCCATCCGCATCATGACTCTGTCATCATTTATAACATCCAAATGGATCCCTAACTGGCTCATTTCATTCACCATACCTGGATTCAAACACCTTTCACTTTTAAAAAAAATTCAAATAAATTCTCGGTGATAAAGATTTGCAGTTATTCAAGAAGTAATCCTTTCCGAAGGGGATTCTGGAAGTAGTGTGAGCACTGGCGCCTGACTGAGTGAGTGTCTTGCTTCCCACACAAGCTAACTCAAAAGAGACAGTGCTGGCTGCTTTTTTTCTAGCTGACATAAAAGAGTTTCTCAAGATAATATTTCAAATTGACAGATTCACAGGGAAGGTAAATCAGTTTCCCTAAATTGGATCTAAACTCAAACTTCATTCACTTCGTTATAGCATTTGTTTGGTGATCTCAGGAAGAACATGATAAAGTTGCAGAGTTTTCCCTGTCTGCTGCCCTTCTGAAATGTGTATGTGCTGGGAAAGGCCTCCGTGGACCCTGAAATGTGTCTGTGAAACTTGTCCCCAAGGACAGGGTACAAAGTATCCATCTAGGATTTCAAGAAAGAACTTTCCAGCCCTGCAGCAGTACCTGGGTCCTGGCCTCAGGAGCTGGAGGCTCTGGAAGAAATCTCAGAGCTGCTCTTAGCAACTGTTGGACCTTTAGCCAGGTCCTTAGTTGGGGGTGTATGTGAGCCCATGCATGTGCATGTCAAGGCATCAGTGAATAAATCACATGTGCAGGACTCTGCCTGTCCCCAGCAGGCCAGCAGGTGCTCAGGAAGGCTTGGCTCTTCCCAGGATTGGTGAGATCTGAAGGTGTACAGATTGGAGGTTACTGTTCACAAAAAAAAAAAAAAAAAAAAAAAAAAAACCCCACAAAAACTGAATGTTGAAACAGACGAATGTTTATTTAAAGTAAAAAAGAAATTACAAATTATAAAAAGCTCTCAAGAACCCTATGTGAACTCTAGAGTTTAATTCATGACAGTTTATTAGAACACCCCCTTAGAAAATGATGCAAAAATGGAAACAAAGTCTGCAAATAGTGGAGGGGGAGAGGGGTGAAGGGAGTGCAGGGGTATGGGGAAAAAATGAGAACCAAGATCTGTCATGTAAAAGTACAAGATCTGAATGTAACTGTACTGAAACTGTATACTTTAAAAGTACCAATAAACTCAATGAGAAAAAAAAAAAACCCTTACCTGCGAGAGATAGCCTATCAAGGCTCCTCCCTGAAGATGCCTGAAACTGCATCCACTGTTTTGTCATATACACATACCTGTTATAAAGTTTAATTTAAAAGTTGAGTGGGTAAATGAAAAAGATACCCTAGGTTTTCATATGACAGGAAAACATACCATTATAGGTGAGAGTAACTCCAAATCATAGATGAACAAGCAAAAAAATTTGACAACATAAACTTCACCAAAAGTCAAAAAAAGTAGTGCAATGATTTATTATTTTTCATTGTCCAATAGCTCTATAGTATTTTTTTCTTTATCGTTTGGCTGAATACTCATGATGATCTTTTTACATGGTAACAACTTTGCAGTATCAAAAATCTGTACAGAAAAGAAAGTTTAACTCTTGTGTGTGGTTGGTTGAAATTTAATTTTTTTTATATTGATTAGAGAAGTTTCTTTCAGCCTCACAAATTGTTTTGGATAATGTCATGTTCACTTTTAATCAAATTTGAGGAAACTTGAATCAAATTTCTTTTTATACTTGATTCAGAGCAAAGTAAGATTTCAAAGTAAAATAAGATTTCAGAACATGTATTTTTCTTGCGCAGTGATCTCATCTTAAATACTTTTCCAACTGAGAATTGGAGAGAGGCTGTGTGAGGGAGGCACCCAGAAACACAAACATCACAGAAAACCAGCCCCTGTCCCTTTCTTTTCAGCATATTTGGCAGAGGTCTTTTGTATTAAATATTCATATGGCTGAATATTAATGAGCATCTTCTTTGCATATGGTGCAACAATGCCTCCTAGACTTCTTCATGAAGAAGAAATTCATTGGCTTTTCTTTCCTCTTTGAAGTGCACAGTAACTTGTGGCCGTGGGTTACGTTACCGTGTCGTCCTGTGCATCAACCACCTCGGGGAGCATGTTGGAGGCTGCAATACACAGCTCAAGCTACACATCAAAGAGGAATGTGTCATTCCCACTCCCTGTTATAAACCAAAAGGTATGACGATCGTGTGTTTAATTCTAATCAAATGATGTTTTCTACCTTGCTTTCCAGTATTGCACTACTTCCATTTTAACTCAATTTTCTTATTAAAATGTTTTTATCCAGAGTTTGCAATAGACCTATCCACCTATGTGAGGAAGTTGGAAATATAGGGCTTATTGATCGAGAGGAAACACTAAGCTTCTGTTGATTCAGGATATAGAGTGGCTTCTACCTGTCTAAGCTTGCACTGATATTTCTTGGTGGGCATAAAATAATTTGATATGGTCCCTGCTTCCAAGAAAAAGGGGGATTTGGAGGAGGAGAGAAAGAACAGTGAGGAGGAGGAGAGGGGAGGGGGAGAGGGAGAAAGGAAGGACGAGGAGGAGGAGGAGG